CATAAAGTAAATGAACCCATGGACACACTCTCTGAACTCAGTTTAAAATATTTCACAAACACAGTTTTATTGTGAAAAAGCCTAATTAATATCCTGGGTGTTGTAACTTTACTCAAAGAGGAATAAAAAGCAAAGTGGCTGGATTGTGTTCCTGATATTAATAAATGATGATGATGATGATGATGATGATGATGATGATGATGATGATGATGATGATGATGATGATGATGATGATGATGATGATGATGATGATACCCGCCCCTTTTCCTTTCATCCCTCCCCTCCATAGGGCTGATAGTCTGGAGGTGATTAGTGGGATGAGCCTGCAGGAGGACCCTCTTCAGGAGGAGGAGGAAGCACCTCCAAAGGGGGGGAAGACCACCATGAGGAGGGGGTTTCCTGCAGGATGATCCCAACACAGCTGCGGGGGGACAATCGGGTTCAAATCAGCAACAGCTGGAGCAAAACATGTAATACAAGTATTTAATAATAGTGTGTAAATAGTCCAGAAACTCCTCAGTAGTTACAGAATCACATTTTGGGGATTTCTTTCTACAGATATTGTGATGCTGTTTTGTGTCTCTGCAAATAGTTACAGGTCGGGTTCGATCAGCAACAGCTGGAGCAGAACATGTAGTAATAAGAATATTATAATGTTGTGTAAACAGTCCAGCAAGTAGTTAGAGAATCCATCTCCCCCTCCTCCCTAAAGAAAGGGTCAAAGCTCATTTCAGCTATTAGCATTTTTATTTTCGACTTCTTTTTCTACAGATATTGTTTTTTGAAATGTCTCTATGTAGTAATAAGTATATTAGAACAATGTTTAAATAGTCAAGCAACTGCTCAGTAGTTACAGAATCCCTCTCTAATTCTCTGGATTTCTTTCTACAGATAACTATCAACAGATCATAGATTGAGTTTTGTTAAATGTCTCTGCAAAAAGTCCAGCAAGTAGTTACAGACAGAGGATTTCATGTTAGATATCAATGGTAATCAAACAATGATAATATCTAACAACCGATAGTTCACCTGCAGCTGATCTGCTTTAAGTGATATCTGAAGTATTTCATTCAACAACAGATCAAATAAAAACGCTGCATTATTTGAAAGCCATTTTTCTTGACGTTCTGCATCAGAAAGCTGTTCTTTCTCTGCTATCTCTGGCAATCATGCATCCTCCTCACAACACCCAGAGGTTTAGCATTTCTCCTCACATATATGTGCATATAGACCTGTATCACACACTGGGTCTGCTCTCTTTAGCCCCAGGGCCTGAAAAACGCCAACATACTTGAGTTGGTAGCTTAAGCCTCGATGGGGCAATTATTCCTTTCATATGGAGGTCATTGTGTGCCATGAATATGAAGCGTGTGGCGCTCCCTCCTCTGACATTGTGTGGATGCTCTTGAGCAAGACAAAGCCCTGAACCCACCACCCATTTCCATATGTGTGTGAGGAAGAGGAGCTGTGTGTTTACTGTAAACTCTGCAGACCCTTCACCCCTCGGTGGTCGGTTTAAAAGAGTTTGTTTCTCTCATTTACTCCTCAGCAAAGTGTGTGTTTACTCACATGAACTAATGGGATTCTGACATCTTGCATTTCCCTTTTGTTAAGAATCCTTTGGGCTTGGGATGTGAATCTGAAGAAGCTTTCAAACCAGCTGAGAAGTGTTATTATTCTCATACTATATGAAGTCTTTGGGTGCATGCAAAGAACTGTTTTTTCATGATATATGATAGGAAAGACAGTATAGTATGAATACAGAAAAGATATGCACACATGCAAAGAGAAGAGACACAGAGTTGCTGCTGAATTTCCCCAAAAGCATGACTTAGATTTGCTGTCATTTCCCTCGAAATCCCGACTTTCATAGTTGAATTCTTCGCATGTTTTAAAATTCAACTGTTAGGTATTTAACCAAAGTGTGTCCCTACAACATTTTAAGACTTTAGACCAATCAGATCACATGTTTGGACACAATTGACAGTCTGAATATCATGCATTTATGATCAAAATAGTGTGTTTTTGTTCAGAAGAAAGAAATGTAATAATAACTGAGTTGCTTTGATTGTTGGTTAATGCTGTATTTATGCTTTTAGTGCAAAAATGGACAACTTAATATTGTCATCTGACATGTTTTAGATGCATTTAATTAATAATATGTGTTGATTTAATATGAAATGGCAAAAGTGTTTAACTGGCAGCTCATATTCTTATTTATTTACACCAGAAAATGTCATTTAAATCAGAAAATCCCCACAAGAAGAAGCATATCACCTACTATCTTATCCCACCGTATCTCCAGTTAGTTTAATTCAGACTTTAATGATGTAGAGAATTAGCATAGCTTCTGATGCTAATTCTTCTCCTCGTGTTAGCTAATCTCTCCGGTGTGTTATCAGCGTGTCAGATCCCCGCGGGGAAGAAGCTGTTGTGCTTTTCTTAGCTATAGCAACATATTTGTTAATGTCCTCATGATTTATTAGGAAAGGGGCATTCAGGGACCCTTTGTCATGGAGGTCCCTGAACTACCCATGATGGTGATGGGGTAAAAAAGGGAGGATTTGGGGGGTATTTTTGCATAAGCATGGAGCCAATCTGCTGGGATTGCTTTGCACAGCGAGGGGTTTCTGCAGGCTTATACTGGGGGTCTTTATTTCACTTTTTAACACAATTACTACTGTCCTGATGGGCTCGAAGCATTCATATGCAGCAGAGTTTTGGGCCCCTCAATGGGTGACCTAATTCAGGGAGTGGCCCCTCAGCAGAGCAGGGGTCCGAGTGTGACCTCACAGAGGAACACAAAGGGAACCTGATTTAAGAGGAAGCCTCTGCGTTAACAGAAAGCGGTAAAACCTGAGTCCTGTTTCTCTGAGTGCTGCTGTAAAGCCATTAGCTGATGAAGCTGCAGTTTCACCTCAAACTGTCCCTGGTTATGTAGCTTTCATTCTGGGGACACCTTCTATCTGGACATGGAGCCTTTGTTTGTTTAGAATGAAAGAAAAAAAGAAAGTTCTGCACAAAAGCTACCGTAGATTTGGCGTTGAAATCTTGAGTCTCCAGCTCATCCTTCTGTTGGAAACTTCAGTTTTTAATAGAGAAACCATATAATCAAACCCTCCAGCCTGGACCCGTAGGCTCATGTTTACCACAGCGGTTTCTGTAGGATGTTAGACATTCACACCTAGAAGCACGTCTGTTAACTCTTCGAACAGCTCGTACTTGAGTTTTGTCCCCCACCTATCCACCATAACTGTAGTACAACACTTGTAAATACAGTAACTGCAACCATATTTTATTGATTGTCTGACACCTTTTAAAGCAGAAGTTATTTCTCGTTGTGAGTTGCAGGCTGCTGGCTAAATGACTTCTCTATATTGCTACCTGGTCGTCTTTATGATCTATATATCTGAGTTTCTACCATGCATGGCTGTAAATATATATATATATAACATACTTTCTCTTCTGCATGACAGCTGACGAGTGCTCAGAAAGAGCCCCAACACTTAGCTTTATTGACACATGTATGGAAAAATCAGTGTTAAAATCAGATGCATGGTCCATTTCATGTTTTATATCGGTTTATGTGATCATAAGTCTGGCAGAACGATGTTAGCACTGAAAACAAGTGTTTTATATGTTGTGAAAAACTGCTTTTTTGTTGTGTTTTACAGATATTTGGGACATCGAATCAAGACTGTCTCCATGAAGAGCAGATTTCACAGCTCTCTCAGTAAATATGGTATGCACTTATTGTTGTTGTTGTTGTTGACTTTAATTACCATAAACACTGATTGGACGTCCTCATAAAAGGTGGTGAATTCCTGGCGTTGGTGAGAGCCTGAACTCATCACGGCACTTCCAGTCACACACACACACACACACACACACACACACACACACACACACACACACACACACACACCCGTATGTTACATGTACAGTATGTTGGCCAAGGCCACGCACAGGAAGAGGTGTGTGTGTGTGTGTGTGTGTGTGTGTGTGTGTGTGTGTGTGTGTGTGATTCCCTTTAATAGCCGCACAGACAGAGAATCAGACGGTGTTTCATTAGTGATTCCTGTAATGTCAATAAAGTTGCGATGGTTAACAGGAAGAGTGTGGGAGCAAGGGGGGGGGGGGGGGGGGCAAGGCTATGGGGGGTGAGGAAGAGGAGGAAGAAGAAGAGGAGGAAGAGGAGGTATCATTATTCATGCACGGACAGGAGGAAAGATGTCTTTGTTACAGACAGTGAAAAGGAAGAGAAATGAAATGCGAAAATTAAAGGAATATACCATTACATGTTTTTTATTCCATATTTTATTCATTCAAGATATAATAACTAAAAGGTGCATTGCACAGCGCTATAACAACAACACATATGTAAATAACAATATGCTTTAAATAAGTTTACCTCATGATGCAATTTAAATAAAGCTGATTGATGTTTAGAGTTAAATTCATCAATCTAATGATCCCTGATGACCATCAAACTAATATTATAACGTCAAATCAATAACTAGAATAAGAGAAGTAACCTTCATTCAAAAAGAAATATCTATACTTGTAATTAATCAATGTAAAGCCTATTGTGCTATATTATTGTGAACATGTGTTCTTCATTTAACCATCAAACCTGTGTATATCAGTGTCTGTTTGTGGGGACTCAGCGCCACCTGCTGGACACACACACACACACACACACACACACACACACACACACACACACACACACACACACACACACACACACACACACACACACACACACACACACACACACACACACACACACAGCTTCTACACCAGAGGGAGCCGCTGCATCACTCTTTCATAGCTCAGTTTTAAAATCAGTTGCAAGTTGAATTAAACGGTGTTTGATACTTTCTTGATATGTTTCTTAAATTCAAGTTCGAGTCCAAGATACTTGAAGTTAGTGTGTTTAGTGTGTGTGAGAGGAGGAGGAGGAGAGGAGGAGGAACAGATTAACTTCATAGACGCTGCTTGTTCTAAATCTTTATTGAACGTATCGATCACTAGTCTTCAGGATCAGCTTTAATACGTTGCTTCAAGAAAACTTTATTACAGACACAATCAGTGAGACACACGGTAACCAATGAGAAGCCTCCATTTAAAACACCATGTGACCCAGGACAGGAAGTGGACTCCTCCTACAGAGGACACAGAGACACTGAGGAGTCAGCCGCAAACGCAAACCCAGCGTAGAGAGGTTCAGTGAATGTGGCTCTGAAGGTGTGGAGGAGGATCAGTGAGGAGGAGGAGACTCTGTAGAAGGAGAGAGAGCCAGCAGCATGATCCAGATACACTGCTACTCTACGAGAGGAGGAGGAGGAGGAGGAGGGGGAGGAGGAGGAGGAGGAGGAGATGGGTGTTCCTCTCTTATTGTGCCAGACAGAGTAACCTCCATCAGTGCAGTACAGTTTCCAGGACTGATCATTCACTCCAAACCCACATTTATCTTCTCCTCTCCTCCTGATTCCTCTGTAAGTCACTGCTATATCAACCTCTCCTCTCCACTCGACCTCCCAGTAACAGCGACCAGTCAGAGCTTCTCTGCACATCAGCTGAGCCCTGTCATCAAACCTCTCTGGATGATCAGGATATGGCTGCCTCTCCTCCACACGTGTCACCGTCCTGTTGTCCTCAGACAGTTTGAGGAGCCAGCCCACTGTGTTTGAGTCCAGGGTGAGTCCACAGGAATCTGAGGAGAGACACAGACAGCAGTTTATCACCAGACTCACCTGAAGGCTTTCCTCTCTGTCAGTGATCTTTCTATAAAGCTTCAAGAGGTCATGTTCTAATGAATAAATAGCACCTCCATCCTCTGTGTCTCTAGAGCAGGGGTCTCCAACCTTCTTTAGGGTGAGGGCTACTTTCAAAAAATAAAACAAGTCGTGAGCTACTTTTAATCCTCTTTTTGTTGTTTCTTGCAGTGTATATATTTAGCACATTTTAACATTATGACATGCTGACCTTTAACCTTTGTGTCTGTTTGGGTCTGTGGGACCCCTTCAGTGTTTACTCAAAGAACATGTATGCTATCTCATTATTTTAACCTGCTTTATTTGGGGGGGGTCCTCACCTCCTCTAGGGGGGACCTCACCTCCTCTAGGGGGGACCTCACCTCCTCTAGGGGGGTCCTCACCTCCTCTAGGGGGGACCTCACCTCCTCTAGGGGGGACCTCACCTCCTCTAGGGGGGTCCTCACCAGAGTTGGGTGTAACGCGTTACTGTAATAATATTACTTTTGTCGGTAACGGAGTAGTGTAACGCGTTACTTTTATAATTCAGTAATCACACTGACAGACAAGAGGGGTTTCCGCCGCAGGTTTATATGTACGTAATCTGCGCGACTTGCGGGTCCACATATCCACGTGCAGTGCTGCATAAACATGGCAGAGTCAGCGATAACTTTCGAGGGGTGGAGGTATGCCCATTATTTTGAGTTCGTCCGAAGAATAGACAGGAATGTGACGGTGAGGTGCAAACTGTGTCCAGGCCAGAAGCTGTTATACACTGCTGCAAACACCACGTCAAACCTCAACAAACACCTGCAAAGAACACATGCTAAGTTGAAGCTAATAGCTAAGGACCCCCGAACCCAGAGTGAGGATGTGAGTGCGCCGCCGCTGACTCTGAAGCGGCACAAATTAGAATTTGGAGGACCGGTAACCAAAGCAGAGATGGACAGGCTTGTAGCATCCTTCATAGTAGAGGTAATGTTGCCCATTTGCACAGTGGAATCACCATCGCATCGTTCAGAGATATACTGCGCAAAATACAGATAGCAGGAGACAGAGGACAGCCATGGTCAGAGCTATCTGGATCAGTCTTATGCGACAATGGAAACTGAACTAAAGAGAACATTTCAAACTTTAGCAGTCTGCGTGATCTGCCTGTAGGGAGGGGCGGGCCGGCCCTGCGAGTAAAGTAACGAGTAAAGTAACGAGTAAAGTAACGAGTTACTTTATGTAGAGAGTAACGAAGTAGTGTAATATATTACTTTTTTTTAAAAGTAATATGTAATATGTAATATATTACTTTTTTTTAGTAACGACCCCATCTCTGGTCCTCACCTCCTCTAGGGGGGTCCTCCTCACCTCCTCTAGGGGGGTCCTCACCTCCTCTAGGGGGGACCTCCTCACCTCCTCTAGGGGGGTCCTCACCTCCTCTAGGGGGGACCTCCTCACCTCCTCTAGGGGGGACTCTCACCTCAATAGGGGGTACCAAATCTAGAGGGGGGTTCACCCTCAGGGGGGAGAGGGGATATCCTAGAGAGTAGATCGGAGAGAGGAGAGGGAGCGAATTAATCTCTAGCTCCTGATCTCTCTCTCTATCTAGGACTCTCTCGACTCCCTCTCTCTCTCTATCTTCTCTCGCTCTCTTAGTCTCTCTCTCTCTCTCTCTCTCTCTCTCTCTCTCTCTCTCTCTCTCTCTCTCTCACAGACTCTGTGTGCTCCTCTGTGGCGATGACGTTCTTAGCTTTAAAAAAGAAGAAAAAAAACATATTTGTAAAGTGGGGGGGACACCAAGCAGGATTTCTAAAAGAGCTGGGGGGACATTTCCCCGTCTGTCCCAGGTGGAAGGGAACGCCATGGGGGCGTGTGTGGGGTGCGTCAAGTGCAAAAATAATATATATTCAAGTTCAGGGGCACAGGCAGGAGTAAAGCTCTGACCCCTTCATGTGCTGTATAGCTGCAATGATAGGCTGCTCAATGGGGCTGATGTGTTGTGTAGATTCTGCCAGAAGGGACATCAGCGGGGAGGTGCCTTTTCTTCCAGACTGCAACGCTGGTCCCGCAAATCAAGCAAGAACGTGATTGGTCGATATTCATTGTGGGGTGGGGGGAGGAGGGGTGTTAGATAGATATAGAGTTGTAGTAAGTAGATAGAGTTCGCTATGATTGAGGTTTCCTTTATGCATAGGGTAGATTCTTTTAATTACATTTCCTTTTTTGTTTTGTGTATTTTATACATTTTGGATTTGCTTGGCGAGCTATTTTTAGAACATGCCCCGCGGGCGACTCACGTTGCCCCTGCGGGCGACTAAGTGCCCGCGGGCACCGTGTTGGCTACCCCTGCTCTAGAGAGAAGCTGACTGATCCACACTTACACTTCCTCACACCTGCTCTGAACCTCTGCTCTCCACCACGGTCCAGCCTGGAGGAAGAAACACATGTGAGAAACAGAACAGCGTATTGTTAGAATAAAGTATTTATCAATGTTCATCATAATAATAAATCCTATGTGTCCGAAGGGAGCAGGAGGGAGCAGATGCTTATTGATCCCCCTTACTTCCTGCTGATCAATGATTATCCTTTCAATCATCTCTGAAAGTTATTCCTACTTACATATTTACATTTATACATTTACAATCATTTCTCCTCTTCAATCTCCTTTCTTCATTCTCATACTTTCCCAAAGAAGTGTTTCTGTGCATCCTTCAAAGTGAATGCTATGTGTGCTTTGTTTGAACTCCTGCTCCAAGCCGCTCCATGAAACCCCCCCCCCCACAGATTGTTCTGCTCTTCTCAGAGTTCTTCTGACCTTGAGTTGTTTCAGATGTAGATCTCCTCTCAGATGATACCCCCCCCTCTCTGTCTATGAACAACGTCTGTAGTGTCCTAGGAAGTAGATGATCTCTTGCTCTGTACATGATGCAGTTTGAAATGTAACCAGATCAGTAAACTTCAGTGTGTGTGACTTCAAGAATAATGAATGAGTGTGTTCAAGATATCCAACATTATTGATTACTCTTAGAGCCCTTTTTTGTAATGTGCATAACGGCTGCAGGTTGGTTTTGTGTTTCCCCAGATCTCCACACAGTAACTCAGACATGGAGATATGAGTGTATCACAGAGTATATCATGATGTGATATGAGTGTATCGCACAGAGTATATCATGATGTGATATGAGTGTATCACACAGAGTATATCATGTGTACTCCAGAGTGTGTCTTGCTTTCCCCAATAGTGCGATAGTCTCAGCCAGTTTAGCTTTGACATGATGGATATGAGGTTTCCAGCTGATGTTGTGCTCTAACACCAAGGAACTTGTTTACATATACTCTTTCTATGTTTATGTTGTCTAGGATTAACCTGAGGATTTGTTTGATGTTTTCCAAAGAGCATAATCTTTGTTCTGCTTATATTTAATGATCATTTGTTCTTATCAAACCAATGTTTGACTTGAATCATGTCTGCTGTTATTACCTCCATTAGCTGTTTCAAACTGTCACCAGAACAAAACATATTAGTATCATCTGCAAATACAATACATGTCAATATATTTGATACTCTGCAGATATGGTTGATGTATATGATGAACAGCTGTGGACCCAACACAGACCCCTGAGGTACTCCACAAGTTATGTTCATGTCTTCTGATTTATGTTCACCTATTTAACAAAGTGTTGTCTGTTGCTTCAATAATCTCTCAGCCAGTCCAACCCTCTGATGCCATACCTTTCCAGTGTTGTCAGTAACATGTTGGGATCTATGGTGTCACATGCTTTCTGTAGCTCTATCAATATTCCCACTGCTTGTTTTTTATTGTCCAAGCAGTTTGCTATTTCCTCACTTAATCCCATTAGTGCCGTACATGTTGATCTGTCTTTCCTGAATCCATATCGACTATCGTCCAACAGCTGATGTGTTTCCATGAAACTGTCAAGTCTTTTTGTAAAACCCTTTTTAAGGATGAAAGTGGGAGAGCAAAGAAACATGTGATGTGTGTCATGGTGTTTATCCCCAGTTTGATATCATGGTATAACTTTAGCTGTTTTCATTTCATTAGGGAATGTACCAGATTGAAAAGACAAGTTACAAAGATGTGTTCATGGTTCTGCAATTTCTTCAATAATGTTTCTGATTATAATCATATCAATATGATTCCAATCGGTTGAGGACTTGCTTTTACACGTCCGTACAGTGTCTATGATTTCTCTTTCTTCGACTGCTCTGAGGAAGAAAGAGCTATTGTTTTCATTCCAGAGGTCTGTATCTTCCCCTTTAGTTGTTTCTATGCTTTTCATTCTTTCTGCAGATCTGGCCCCACATTTACAAAGAGTTGGTTCAAACCATGAACCACATCTTCTGTGTTATTGATAACATTATCTTTGTCAACAAGAAACTCAGGGTAACCTGTACTCTTTGCTCCATTTCTAACGATACTATTTAATACCTTCCATAAACCTTTCATTCTGAGTACTCTCTAGTATTTTATTATAGTATTCTTTCTTACATATTCTCATAATATTGGTTCATTTATTCTTATATCTTTTATATTTATTTTCTGCTTCTGAACTTCTATATTCTATGAGTTGTATATAAAGTGTATTTTTCTTTTTGCAGGCATTGTTTAGGCCATCAGTGATCCATGCACGGTGACTTTGTTTGTGTCTCTCTGCATTGTTTAGGCCATCAGTGATCCATGCACTGTGACTTTGTTTGTGTCTCTCTGCATTGTTTAGGCCATCAGTGATCTATGCACAGTGACTTTGTTTGTGTCTCTCTGCATTGTTTAGGCCATCAGTGATCCATGCACTGTGACTTTGTTTGTCTCTCTCTGCATTGTTTAGGCCATCAGTGATCCATGCACTGTGACTTTGTTTGTGTCTCTCTGCATTGTTTAGGCCATCAGTGATCCATGCACAGTGACTTTGTTTGTGTCTCTCTCTGCATTGTTTAGGCCATCAGTGATCAATGCACTGTGACTTTGTTTCTGTCTCTCTCTGCATTGTTTAGGCCATCAGTGATCCATGCACGGTGACTTTGTTTGTGTCTCTCTGCATTGTTTCACAGGACACTTTTTGTCACAAAGTGATTTCAAAATGTTTAGAAATTCCTCATAGGCCTTGTCCATATCGTCTCTCTCATATACTACCCTCCAATTGTGATTAAAGTATTCTTTAATGCATTTATGTTTTCTTCAGTTCTCAATCTTTTGTATTTGAAATGGCTGGAGACTTTAGGTTTCTTATAACTGCAGTGATAGACAATAAGAACAGGTAAATGATCACTGATGTCACTATATAGTAGTCCCTGCTGTATTGTTCTCCATAATGTTTGTGAATATGTTGTCTATTCATGTAGCAGAGAAGTGATTGTACTAGGTCTGGTGATTTTAGGATACAAACCCATACTGTACAATGCATTGATGAAGTCTTCTTAAGTCTTTAACCCTAACCCCTAAGATAAACATCATGTTTTGTAATGATTTAGTAAACATGTTTCTATCCTATCTGTAAATGTGTCAATACAGGTTCCAGGAGCTCTGTATATACAGCTCACAATAACATGTTTAGACCTATCCATACACATGTCTACTGTAACACATTCAAGCAAATCATCAATAGCTGTTGTTATGCTCTCCACCACCTTACTAAGTGAAACAAAAAAATAACCTACTTCAAATTAACGCATATTAAAGACATGAAAAGTCTAAAAAGGATAGAAAATCCACTTTGCTTCTTCCGACTCATGCACTTGAGAGAAGAAGAAGAAGAAATGATATAAAGATAATCAGAGAGTCTTTATCAATTCAATCACATGTCACGGTGGTGCAGGTGGAAAAGTCCCGATCAACCCTCTGGGAATCAAAAATGTTAAACAGAATCTCATCTCAACACATTTAGCAGTTGGTGAGATATCTCAGTCAGAACCAAATCCATAAACTGACCATCATTATCCTCCCTAGAGCCAGGAAACCAGTGGTTCTGATGTTTGGACTGAATGGCTGTTTCCATGTAATAAGACTTGAAGGTTAACTCACTGCAGTGAACATAATCAAGGGAAATGAGACGTCCTTCATGATGGAAGACCAGAGATGAAGGAGATGAAATTAGAAAAATACGAGGAAGTCAGTCTGTCCATACCTGAGTGTCTCCAGACTGCAGAGTGGATCCTCCCGTCCAGCAGAAAGCAGCTTCTCTCCTGAAAGACGGGGTCAATTTTCACAAAATCAGAACCCCAAAGGCATTTTGTGTTTATTCATGCTATACAACATTTCTCGGGGTATTAAGGGGTGCTGAATCCAACTCTGCTGTATATGAAGCTCAACAATGTCCCAAAATGCCTCACAATTGAGAAATCCAATGTGGCCTATGAGTCTCCTGGATGATTGTAGCTGATTGCAGCTCAGGTCCAGCTCTCTCAGATGGGAGGCGTTGGAGCTCAGAGCTGAAGCCAGAGAAACACAGCCTTCCTCTGACAAAATAGCAGGTTATTTTCCTTATATCAAGTCACTGGATCTTGTTGCAGAATTATTCGTACATTGTCCAGTATAAGTTCCACCCCACAGAGAACCATCAGTTTTCCCACAGAGAACCATGGCCCTAAACCTGACTGACTCTTATTCCTGCTGCTGGGAGATGAGGCACGATACCAGCAGATCCCAACACCCACTGAGGGTGTGGACACAGCTCTCTCTCCAGTTATACAGGAAGTGGATGGCTCTTACTGTGTCGCAGTATACTCCTGCAGTAGCCTACCATCTACAAGACACCCTGGGGGGTCACAGTAATAACCCGTCCCTTCCTCCCCAAGTCATGTTGGACAGCAAATGATACCTCCTTCCACCTGTAGGGGGCTGGGCCGTTAGTAATGACTAGGACAGAATCTGCAGTGAGCAATCCCAGTGAGGCTGAGCAATGTGCTCCTCTGATGTTTAGAGCTTACCCTACAGTCCCCTTTAAAGCATGGACAATGACACTGTCTGCCTCCATGCAACATTGAACAGGAATTTAAATCACAACTGTCCAATACTATGTCAGGACAAACCTCCACAGTGTGTCCCTGTGGCCCCTTCTGACCACCTGAGCAACAACAGCTGTTCTCCAAGCCCTCAGCTCTGCCTCCTGAACTCAGTGTGCATCAGTCCCATTCAACATCCTGAGACTGAGTCAGCAGTTTCACAAAGGTTAAGGAATTGTGGTTAGGAAGAGACGAAAGGCGATATATTTTGGAAGGTAATTGGATTCCTAAAATGCTGATCTATAAAGGTTCTACTACCCCTCACCTGGAACCAACAGGGTGACCCTGCCAGAAACTAGTGACCCTGACCTCTCTGCTTTCAGGGGTACCTCAGCCCCAACACCATGTGGAGGTAATGGTTCTCTGAGGGGTATATCAGGAGTCTAAAAACATGATGCATGGCTGAGAAAAATATAACAAATTATATTTATATATATAGCTATATTTTGGTACACTCTTTTTTTAAACACCTACCTTTAGGGTCTGATGAGGATTCTGATGAGGATTCTGATGAGGATTCTGATAATGCCTCTAATAGATCTTTCCTCGGGATCTCCTTCAAAACTTCTCTGGTCACTTTAATGTTGTCTCTGCCGTAGTACGTACGCATCAGATCCACTGTTTTCATCCGGTCTGCTTTCTCTAGTTCACTCTTTGGGATTCCTGGGAATTCTAGGACCTTCTCCTTCAGGTACCACTTGAATTCTTCAAATTCCTCTTCCTCCAAAGCTTTTAAAGTCTTTAATAGGACTTTATGTGTCTCCATCTTTTCTACCTGCAGAGCAAAGATACCAAGAAAGAAAATATTTATCTTACAGAACTATATGTTCTTATTTTGTACTTTTTAAAACCATAACAGGCCTTCGGGATCCAAAGAACAGCTGCCATGTGACTTTGAATGGTGTTACGACCCTGGGTCGTTATGTCATTTGTGTGCAGATATTTCTTCTTCCTCCTGTGTCTGTGTGGCTGCGTGTGAGTAAGCAGGTGGTGCCCGGTAGCTGATTGGCTGCCCTAGACAGGCTGATTGGTCCACCTGAGGAGACGGGAGCATTTAAGCTGCAGCCGTGCAGTTCCTCGGCCCTCTCTGACTCGACTTCTCCTACTCCCAACACTGTTGCGTATATATATATCTGTCCTGTTGTGCTGTGGGTGTACTTATACCGTACACCAGTCATTTTGCTTGTTTTGAAACCTCAGAAGTAGAAACTACTTTAACCTGTCCTTGTGGACACGCTTGAATTTGCCCAGGAGTGTGAAACCCTTTTCTTTTGGTTTATTCTCGTTTTCTCCTGTTTTTACGTCAGAGTAGGTAAGAAGCCTGTACGTTTATTTTTCTTATTTGTTAGGCAAGATTTATGTGTTCAAAGATTTGTTTGTTTTGTGGGTTGTTGCCAAGCGGCAAACTCTGGGGAAGAGCCGGGACGCCAATACGGAAGTGCCACAAACTGCAGTTCATATATTGGCCGATAGGCGCTGACTGCAGAAAGGAGCAATTTCCATAGACCCCCATGTTAAAATGCCCAATTTTACAGCCTAAAAAAACATGTTTCTACCCATGGATCCAATACATATTATTATAGATATAGTTAGATTCCACCTTCATGATTATGAATCTGTGAGTGTATTGTTTTCTAACGCGACCCTTTTATTTATATTCGGTCTTAAAGTTTTTGCATAAATTAGGGCGTGGTCACATTGAGTGACAGCTCTGTCAAGTGACTGCTGCTGTTAGCTTCTTGTCTCTCTGCTAGCTGCTCCGTCTCCGTGAAGCTACAAGGACTCTGCCTGCTCAGTTCATCCAGGGAACACAACTCGACCCCGGCCGTGTTTGTTTGTTCTTCATGCTTATATATCGGACTATTGTGACTCGCTCTGCGGTTAAAACAGACGGTGCATGAATGCGGTTTTGCGGTAAGTGAAATTCGAGTACTTTATTTATGTGTTTATGATTTTAATCAGCTACGTAATGAATGTGTTAGCGTGTAAGCGTGTGGTAGCTACATCGGTGCTAACGATGCTAATCGTAGCCTCCAAGTTAAAACCATAGACCGTATATATAAAGGTTCAAACGAAATAGACAAGTGTTAAGCGTTAAGTGGGATAATACTGTAGAACAAACGGCTTCTGTTTGAGGTTGATAAAATAAGGTCATCCTTGTAACTTAGAGAGATATGTTATTATGTAGGTAGGAACTGTATGCATCGCTAAGGTTAATTTAAATTGGCTATGCTGAAGTATGTAGACAAGCTAACGTCGAAGTAGTGTATGTGAAATCAACCTCACAATAAGATGTGTGTATATTACAATTATTAATGTCATATTTCAAGATGATTACTTAGATATTACAATATGGTTGGTTGAGCTGGAGTTCATTATTGAGCTTACACGTTAACGTCACAGTCATCTGAAGAACGAACCCAAACCTTGTTGTTTTTTATTAATTGCATTACCAAATTGGTATCAAATAAATAGTAAGCATTGGTAACACAACTTCCAAAGTTACAGTAAAATAAAAAGGACCCTGACTCGGCCAATACACAATCCAACATGTTCAACAGAAGAGAATAAGTTATATTGTTTGTACACATGGTACTTTTCATATATATCTGTTTGTTTAAAGTGTCCAGGTGATGCAGACAGGCTGGACCAGAGAGTGAGAGACAGAACTGGACTCCTCACAGCAGTGAACTTCAGCACAGGTACAAATACTCTTTTTTCATACTGTACAAAGAATCAAGAAAGATATTTGTTTAAATCAGGAGTCTCCAACACGTCGATCTCGCGGGCAGCTTTTCAGTAGCTCGCCGCTCGATTATCGATTATAGCGTAGTAAGGTTGCTTATTGATTTTTCGGCCGCGGCTGGACAATAACGTTTTTTTATTTTAGAATTTTTTCTGTCACACGAATATCAAATGGTCGGTGACGCAGAGATCAAGGAACAGACGTGACAGCGGCACAGCGACAACACACACGGAGCAGTCTGCTTTCTCCACCAGCACCAGTCCAGAACTAACAGCAGAATGACCCGCTCTGAATCAGGCCCTGTCGCTGAGGCTCAGACACACACAGGGAGGGATTTGTGTTTTTTGAAAAACACTCGTTATCGTCATGTCAGGTTTTTGGTGGATTTAATCAAGTCTTGGATTGCAGAGTATGAATGTCCTCTTGCTATTTTCAGTTGATAAATACTTGTGTAAAGTTTGTGAAGGCAGGAGGAAAGCTTCCGCGATCACCGTCTCCTCTCCGTTCCTCCAAACCCCGCCCCCTCCCTGAAAATAATGAGTGACAGGCTGATAGTGACCCGATAGAAACGTTATTATTCACTTAATCACTGATTGAGATGTGATGAAGCTAACTTAATCTCATACATTCATGGGATTTATGTAACAGTAAGACAGAGAATGTAAGTGTGCACCCACATGCACTATTTTTGTTTTTATAATGCTATTGTAAATACTCCTGCTGTTTTCACTCAAGTCATGCATGTGATGCCACATTCAAGACATTCAGTGTCTTTTTTTTAACAGAAGACCGTAGCTAGAAGCTGCAGCTAGACTGCAGAAGTATTAGTTTTTTGTTTTTGAGGATGGAACCATTTTCACACTCAGATATAGGGAGGCTAGACCTATACAATTAATTTATTATGGTTTATAATTTAATGTCAAGACGAAGAAGAAGAAGAAGAAAAAGATGGCTGAACAACTGTTCAGTGTCAATCCTGTGGAGATCTCCAAAATAATGTTCAGCTTAAGTCTCAGCAAAACTCACAACATTTCTGGAGCCTTGTAGACCCAGAAAACTATAAGAACATTCACCAAGCAGCACTGAAAATGTCTGCTTTATTTGGTTCTGTTCTACATACCTTTGTGAAGCAGCTTTTTCTGACATGAATGAAATCTAAATACAGAACAAGACCGACTGATGAACATTTAAATGACTCTATTAGAGTGAACCTAAGTGGGTCCAGCATACACCTCTATGGTGGACTGCATGCAGTGCCATTCATCTCACTAACAAAGAGTGAAATGCTTGTAAGGTGGTGATTAAGGACACTTATGTGAATGTTCAGTGATGTACTTATTATGTGGGCCATAATAATATGTGAGAAATCTTCGTTTTCTTGGACCTTATTTTTGATAAGCTTTAGGTATTGCAATTTCACACGTGTACAAAAGTATAGCTTAATTCAACTGATGAGGGCTATGTGAATAAATGTAAGCGATGTGATGCAAGTAGCTCTTGGCCACTTTCATTTTTTGAAAGTAGCTCTCAGATGAAGAAAGGTTGGAGACCCCTGGTTTAAATAAATGAAGTATTGACTTTAATACACTGATATACATTCCATTAAACAATACTAAATACTAGATTACCTACACATCAGTGAAGTTGAGGGTTTTTTCCATGCAAAAGGTTACATTTAGATGTTAACAAGCAATATGACTGTCAGCTTTCTAATTTAATGTATTGAAAGCAAAGCTATTTAACACATAGTGAGAACTGCTATTTATCTCTCAATATTGTCTGTAAAAAACGTGGTAAAAGTGATTATTTCAGTGAGACAACAGAGCAAGCTTCTACAGTTGCACTACGTTTTGATAACAGTTCAATATTATTTTGATAATAAAATATATTTCAATTTTGATGCATTTCATACTGTTCATTCATAATCTGATTGTCTTTGTAGCTCACTGTTGAAATAAAAAAAAAAACATGTAAAATAATTATATCTACAGCCCCTAAACACACCGCTTTCATAAATAACACAATAATAATATGTTTTATGTTTCCTGTAATTTTTGTTAGGAAAGGACATGCCTGAAAGACACGACTCAACATGTTCTCCTTCTCTGAGGGTCAAGAAGAACATCCAAGAGGAAAATTAAAAGCTGATGTTATGAGATTTTAAGACCAGTACAGGACATTCACTAAGAAACTACTTTTATTGTGAAAACACAGTCAGCTGATCGAATGCACCTATTTCCACATCTACACTCCATCAGCTGATTATTTCTATTTGCCTCACTTTATGAGCTTCACAACATGTACCTTGTACCGCAGAGTTTAAAACGTCACAAATAAATGGGGCCAATCTTCAGTCAGATGTGAATGTGTAATCTAACATTTTCAGTAAGAATAATGGACAAAAGGAGTGCAAATACAAATTCAATTTATTGAAATGTGAACCAAAAGTTAATCAAAAATGTTTTAAATAAAAAAGCACATATGGACAGAAGGTGTAAACCTATTAAAGGTATAAGTAAACACATTTAGTCAAATAAAGTGACAGACTAGGCCTGTGCAGTTGGTATCAGCTATGCCCAGCATGGGCTCCTCCATCAGGCCTGGTCCTCCCTCAGTCCTCTCCAAACCAACAGACTGGACGTCCATCACACGGAGGTTTCTCCCTGAAGTCTCTGCAGCTCTCTGGACACCACGCTGTCTCAATCCGTCCACACTGAATATGAGGGGGAAAATGAAAATAATAAATGCTTTAGACAATAAGAAATATAAAGTTGACTGTTGAGTTGCTCAGTTTTTTTAGATTGTCAATACTATTACTGTATAACTAATATCTCAGGTTAAGAGGCACATTCAAATAAAGATTGGTCTTTAAATACATTTTGTCTTTTGAATTGTTTGTCTAAAGTCAAGGATCTAGAACTGGTACTTATAGTTTTAATGGTACAGTCTGTTTATAATGCTGTTTGGAGGAGGCATCACAGGTAAGAGCACTAACTAGCTACCATCACATGTACCTTAGCTTGACTTAAATGTATTAAACGTATAATTAAGTGATAGCAAAATATAAATAACTAATGTCATGCAAACATATTAATAATTTGCTTGATTCCAGTGTTGCATTTAGCACATTGCATACAAACGTTAAGGGATTAAGGGAAGGGAAGGGAAGTACAAGGGAAGTATTATGCTAAAAACTCAATAACTTAGATTATTATTTATAGTTTTGCTGAATAGTTTCATGTCCGCTTACCTTAGAAACGTAAAATGTGACGGCAGTGTGCAGATGGGGAGCATGTTAGCTTAGCTTCTTAGCTTGAGCTAGCTCTGTTAGTTCCAGCTCGGAGGCAGCAGGTCCCGCCTCGGCTCCGCCTCTTTGCCCTTATTTGGAGCAGGCGGGAGTTAGACTCTGACGTCACTGTCGAGCCGTTAGTGGCCGACTCCGCCTACTAAGGGCTTCTCGGCAACTCTGCAGAATCCTATGGGTGACATCACGGACCCTACGTCCATTTATATATACAGTCTATGGTTGTTGCGCCTCATTGTAAAAACTTTGGTAATTCAAATTACCAAACGGCTTTCTCTGTCTCGGTGTCCATGTTCTTGGGAATGGGAAGAGTGGGGAGAGTGCACATTTTGTGCTGCGCCTAGGTTCCCCTAGACCTGGGCGTAACAATGGCTTCAATTCAGATGTCGACATTCAGGAAGTCAATCCTAAACTTGAAGACAGTCAGCACAGTGAGTTCTGTCTGTTCCTTTAATGTCTTGGTTTGGTAACCTGACTTTAAAGAGCAGAAACTGTCTCAGTCAGATCATAAAGTGGTCTAGCAGACTGACTGGTGAGACACAGCTAAACCTGGAGCCCCTGCTCATCAGACAGTTACAGAGGCTGTCTAACTCCATGTTCAATGAAGACTCCCACCCCCTGCAACCTGAGCTTCAGCTTCTTCCTTCGGGCCGGAGGTTAATCTCCCTAAAGGTGTAGAACCAAGAGGTTTAAAAACAGCTTTGTGGATGTTCTGGAGCCAGAGGGACTTTTTAAAGATGTGTCTGTTGTCTATATTGTATGAAGCATGTGTCACAATGGATACCTTTTCTTACTTCTGCAAACCAAGTTGACCTACTGGTACAAATAAGTACCATGAGAGAAATAAGAGAGTGACTCAGCCGGCGACCACACACCTGGTTCTGGTCTCTGCCAGTAAGCTGGTTACTGGACACAGAGCTGGGTCCAGGTCCAGGTCCAGGTCCAGGTCCAGGTCCAGGTCCAGGTCCAGGTCCAGCAGAGTGTGGTGTTTGCTATGGGCTTGAACACAACACACAGAGCTTTGAGTGAATAATGAGTGCTGAGCTGTGACATGGAGAAGAGTGATGGACAGGTGGAGATGTCATGTTCCCCAGAGCTTTTAGAGGGGGGGGCTTCCTCCTCTCTGTCCTCACACTGATCCATAGCAGAGCCCCCACCTTCACACAAACACAACAACATGCTCATTGATTACCACAAGCTTTACATCACAGGTAGCCCCTCCTCTCAGATATTCAGGAACCTTGTTGGAGCCTCAACAGGACCGGATCAGCCCAGAATGTTCCCCACAGCCCCAGAACCACACAGAAACCCAGTGTGTTGACCCCTAAATATGTGTTAGTGTGTCGCAGTGTATCACAGCACACACAAACAGTCACTTCAATGTACATCCACAGGTAATTTACAGCCCAGCCCCCCACAAGATATCCCACACAACTGAACTGCAATCAGTAACCATTCAATAAAACTTCTTTGTTAGGTTTAGAAAAAACATAATTTTTTGGCTTAAAATATGTACGTTAATTACATGAAAGCAGTTACGGACTTTAATTAAAACGAGGTCTTTTGTGAACTGATAAGAAATGTGTTTTTGACATATCATTGAAAATAGGAAAAACAAGTTCCCTGATAACTAAGTTACAATGAGGTTCAAATCTAGGGGAAGAATATTTTTGAAGTTTGATATAATCTCCCATTTACTTTTCATGCTAATTTTTTGTATAGCCCAACATATATATCAAAACATGTACTGTTAAATATGTTTTTCGAATTCGGGCAATCTAGTCCCAGATGTATAATCTAAAACTTAAAAAAAACATTTGACATTTTCAAGACTCTTCAGTGAAACCAGGTCAGTGTTGGAAGACGGGCCCTTCACACTCCTTCCCTTATTCAGAGTATTAAGAGTTAGACATAAAAACAGTCACGACTTGTTAGAGCGGGTTCTGACACGCCCTGCATTTCTCTCTGATGACGAGAACTCAGAGAACAATCAGACTGCAACTCATTCTACCCGAAACACTGACAACAGTACATGGAGATCTTTCTAAACCCATTCTGCTTTCACTCAGAGAGAAACCCTACACAATATTTCAGACAGATGTTTAGAATCAGTATCAAGAAACATGTGTCCTGTCCAGGTAAACAGTGACTCTGTCCAGGTAAACAGTGACTCTGTCCAGGTAAACACTGACTCTGTCCAGGTAAACAGTGACTTAGCACCATGTGATCACAGTGATCCTGAAGGTGGAACAGATTCCTATCGGAGGATTCTTAGTATGGGCTCAGAACCAATGAAGGTAGATATGGTGCAAAATGCGAGAGCGTGTAAAACCTGATGTGAGCACTTGCAGAAAATAAATCTGAGCTTGTGTGCATACATTTACACTTGTATAAAATATCCACATATCTGTGAACCACATTTGAAGTCACAGAAGAAAAAAAAAAGTTTTGTAGTTTGTAGAAAAAAAAATGAACTTAGTGATGAAATGTTCACTTGCAGAAAAATATATATTTTTTAAATATATTTTCCATTACAACTGCAACTTGGTTATTACAACCTCTCAAATCAGTCATTACAACTTCACGAATCTGCTCTGTGGCAGTATAAATCCACAAATCTGCAGCTTTGACTTTTGCTACACTTCTTGCGATGAATGTGTCGCAAAAGTAATTTTCACCTGTAGATGTGGGGGGAGGGAGGGGGGTTGGAGCGAAGGGGCGGAGCTATCACAACGACGAGTCTCGGGTCAGTCACACAGTCACAGCCATAGTCAGGTCGAACCAGATGACTGCGGGGCTAACGGTCCGTGTCGCTACCAGTCCGCTGACATGGCGCGTCAATCAACGGTAAGTTTTGCCCATTACTTCCCCAGTATTACTTTGAATATTATTATTGTGATTGAGGATTAAATCCACTATGAAGACCACCGTTTTATATCGTGCAGTTTAGCGGCAAAATAACGTCAGTTAGCCAGCTAACGCTAGCTTTGTTGAATTTATGCTATAATTTTTTATGAAAATAAACACACACACACACACACACACACACACACACACGGAAATCTTCTTCTGTCGTTTACATGCACATTCAGTACCAGTGAGGTTGTGGTTGCGATGCCGATATCCGGACGCGAAGCGAGGACTACAAAATGACAATGAGCTGACTGGGGATGTCTGTTCAAAACATTTCACGCTTGAATAAATCATTTAAACCAGTTATTTTTGCCAGACTTATTACTGAATATCGTTCTTAATGTGATACCAAGTCCATCTGAGACCCGTGTACACCTTCAGACAGCCTACAAGTGAAGCACACGTTGTTTACTCACAGTTTGAAAGCAGCGTGGAGAAGTCTTCAGCTGTGGAGCTGTGATCCGCCCAGGATAACTTGTGATACGACTTCTGTGGCTATCTACCAGCGATTGTGTTTAATAGTAAAGACTACACACATGTCTCCCTTATCAAAACGGTATTCTGCACTTTGCACCACTTATCCAGACAAGATGTGACTGTTTAACTTTAGTTATGCGTCGATACAGCGACACAAACCGAATGACGAGGATACTCACGTTGAGAACAAGCGGCAAACTCTGGGGAAGAGCCGGGACGCCAATACGGAAGTGCCACAAACTGCAGTTCATATATTGGCTGATAGGCGATGACTGCAGAAAGGAGCAATTTCCATAGACCCCCATGTTAAAATGCCCAATTTCACAGCAGAAAATGCTCGTTTCTAGCCCTGGATGCAATACATATTATTATGTATATAGTTAGATTCTACCTTCATGATTATGAATCTGTGAGTGAATTGTTTTCTAACATGACCCTTTTATTTATATTAGGTCTTAAAGTTTTTGCATAAATTAGGGCGTGGTCACATTGAGTGACAGCTCTGTCAAGTGACTGCTGCTGTTAGCTTCTTGTCTCTCTCTCTCTCTCTTGTCGCGAGTGTTGACAGGGGGCGGGGGAGCACGCTCATGAACTGTTAGCGCCGGAACCTCCCAACGGCTGCGGAGCGCATTTGCGCCGCATTTGGGCATAAGATGAGGTTTGAGTCTGCGTGATTTTCGTGTAGGCAGGCGCAGCAGCCATATCATTAGCTAGAACTAGCTAGATCTGATGGATTTGGACATAAACGCGAGTGAAGTACCGGACGCGAGAGAGAGATCAGCACTTGCAGCTCTGCCCGCTGTGAGGGACCGGTGAGCGGATGCAAAACACACCTTTAGACGTCACCTAACACATTTAGCTATGGCACTGTCGTATACATTGAATTATTCAATTTGATAATATGTAATCAACTTAATTATCCCTCCCAAAAAAACAAAACAAAATTTATAAAAATATTCATAACTCATATTCGAATACCTGAATAATTATTCGAACACCTGAATAATTTCGAATATTCGATTAATCGTTCCCATCCCTAGCTCTCGCTAAGCTGTACTACGACGCTGGTTATCAAGTGGATCGCTCAAGCCAGCCGTGTCCTATCTAGTTAGGTGCGCGTTCACATGAAAGGGGTGGTATTTGGAGCATTCGACCAATCACAAACATGGACAAGTGTACTGACAGCGCAGCGTCATACTTCCTGAATGAAAAGTGAACTTTAATATTAGTCAAATATGAAGAAGTTCAACTTTAAACATCCATGACTTAAACACTTTATCCAGGATCAAAGCCACATAGCTGCACCTGCAAGGTGAATACAGCTGGTAACAGAGAAAGTGTTTGAATGCGTACATTAACAGGTTTATGATATCACTGCCCCGTCTAAGACACGATCTGACTTTAATTACATTTGACTCGAGTGTTTCGTCAACTTAATGTGTTGCTTAAAATAATACTTCTGCATACAGTATGTGACACTGTGAGTGTTGCACGGCCAGATACAGCTCAGCTGACTCAGATAAGGAAATATATGATACATTATGATGTGATGTGATATGAATGATAATGGGACACATCGACGTCTGCACTCACAGTGCTGCGGACTGTACGTAATGTTACTCTGATCCGGTTACTTATGTCGTGGCAGATATTTAAGTAAGCTTTCTTAACGCTAATGTTATAATAGTCAGATTGCTCTGAAGATGGGAGCAACAACAACTTCCTGTCAACAGCGTTAACTCGCCTTCAAAATAAAAGCATCTAAATGAAAAAGGAAGTTAACCTAAATTACATTTAAGACGTATATAAAACTGCAACGAAAGCAACAAAAACAATACAACATCCCCTTCAGTCTCACAGAACACAAATGGGGTTATTTACACTAGCTGTTCAATAAGCATGTGTACAGGCTAGTATGGCTAACGCTAGCGTGAATGCTAACGCATTTTCTCATTGAGTTTAAACATCTCCAAATGTCATCACATAAACACAATACATGTTACTAATCCTTACAGTGTAAGTGTAAGGCTCACACTTACACTTACAGTCATTGCTTTCTGACGGACTTGACCCTTTTTACTCTTCAGGTTGCATAGCGAAAATTAGTAGCATTCTACTCATAGACTGTATATATAAAGATTCTACTGCCTTTCTTGGGCGGTGTCCGTCAGACGAAAACGTAGTGCCAATGAGGAACTGAGAATTTAGTCCAACTTCCTTTTCAATCAAACTCACTTCCTTTTCAATCATACTCTCTCACACTCATAACTATTCTTATGCACACACCCTATCATTCTGTTTTATAGACATACCTATAGTCATTCACATGAACTATTATTACCTCTTATATAAGCTATTATTCTGCCTTTCATTCACTGCTATTCTGTTTTACATATATGACTATTGTTATTAACATGAAATACTATTCCCTCTTATATAGGTTATTATTCTGTCTTACATACATTGTTTACCGATTACACACATACTACTATCCTCTTTCACATACACTATTATAATGTTCTATTAGATTATAGTTGTTTGTGAAAGACGATAGTGGTGTGTGTACGAGAGTATGATGGTGCGTTTAAGAGATGTTGTTTTTGTGTGTGAGAGAGAATAGTTATTTATGTATGATAGTAAATGAAGGAAGGAATGACAGTGCGTTAAAGACGGTATGATACTGTGTGTGAAAGAATCTGGTGGTGTACATGAGAGATTCTGATATGGTTTGTAAGACCAAGTATGAGTTGTGAGCTCTAGACACACACACACACACACACACACACACACACACACACACACACACACACACCACACACACACACACACACACCACACACACACACACACACACACACACACACACACACACACACACACACACACACACACACACACACACACACACACACACTTTTAAGTTGAAATGCTTACAAAGGAAAAGACAAGACGCACAATAAGATCAAATATAGAGTTTCTGGCAATAATTAATGTACATTTTATCTGCTGGGATTTCGGGTTTTCTGTGTTTGTTTATCTGTTAACATGTCAGGATGTTTGTCATGTTAAAAAACTGAGAATAAAAACAAAATATTCATTAATTAAACCTAAAATGTGACACAAAGAGGACTAGCGTTCGACTTTCTCACAGTCGGGTCTTCTCGACTTAAATCTGGTATATTTAATTAACTAAATGTCGTTGTAGACTGAAACAGGAAGTGAGAGTGAGGGCGGGAAAAGCAGAACTGCAGCCGGAAAAACAAAGTCGTCTCGGTGCAGAAACGTCAACAGAAACAAGTGGGAGAAAATCTAGCCTGAAAAACAGCTGATGGAGCAACCTTCAGAGGATGCACTACTGAGGTTCTGCAATATGTGAAGGTGGGATTACACGATGGGAGAGAAGCTGCAAACACGAGTACTTAGAAAGAAGAAATGATCTATTTGTTGCATAGTCGCTGAATCATTAGGGTCACGCTGAGTTTTTAAACGATTTCATCTAGAAAATAACTTTTTAGATCCTTCTTTGTTGCTTGGATTTAGTGCAGCACCTCTTTTCACCCTGTCTGAAACCAAAGCTGCTCTGATTGGTCTACCAGCTTAGAGATGTCCCGCCCCTTAGCCTATCACGTACAATGTGTTAAATTGCTAGCCAATAAGAGTGTGACACACACACACACACACAGTCCTGTATGACCAGGGAAGTGAGGACCGGGAAAATTCACATTGGGAGTGAGGACCACCCTTTCTGCTATACTTAGAGAGAAATTAATTCTGCATTTCAACACTAGGTGGCCCCCTGATTCCAGTTTCCAATATTTTTAAAAACAAAGGAAAAAATATATAAAAATATAACTTTTCAAGCCAGTTTAGCATCGAAGTGAGGACCTGGTTTTGTTGACGTTGTTGAGTTTTGATTCATAAGAGAGTAGTTTAGCCTAAAGCTTACAGTTATTCTTACATTTGTAAGTAAAGACCAATTTGAAAAGGTTTAGACAGCTTGAGATTCATAGATAAACAGAATGCCTACAATTAATATTCAGACCATTGATTAGACTGCTGTGCAGAAATACATTATTATTATTACATGTTACTTGTTAGACGCTTTTATCCAAAGCGACTTACATACTCCCCACAGGAGCAATTTGGTGTGAAGTGTCTTGACCAACGCCACTGCGCCACAGCCACAGATACCATTTTATGCTATACTTGTTAATATAACAAAATGAAATCATCTAAAGAATATCAGTATGATTCAACTTCCAACACAACTGCAATGAATGCCCTTTCTGGTAGCAGTATTATATTTATTTATAGTAGTGACTACTTTTGACTTTCCAACACATGCACAAACACCTGTAGAAACAATAGAGGGAACCCCTCAACAAGAAGAAAACGGAACATTAAAACGCCCCGCAGACCTTTAAACATATTTGTACAAATCATGGCGTGAGTTGCTATAGAGACTGTTTCTTTTTTCATTTCTCTGTTTCTTTTTTTTCTACCGATTCGTGTTTTATCAAGTTTGCCTGGGGAGACAGAGAGAATGAAAGACGGACAGACAGAGAGAGTCAATTATGTGTAGGGGGAATGATCAAAAACGGGCCATTTAAACATCCAATTTGCCACAGGTGCAAGATGAGAGATGAGTGAAGGACATTCAATGTGCTGTGGATCTCTGTGGGCATATTGACCAACATACCGCTTTTTTCTTTCTAAGAGAAGCCAAAATCGTACTATTCATTACTATTTGATTACATTAGATTCTAGTTATTTTGCAGAAAGTATTATGTATTATTATGGATTATGCTATAAAGTAAGAACAAAAGAACAAAAACTGAAAATGACTTCAGAAATGAAGTATCTTTTGAAGCCGATCGGCGATTAAGTGTCACGATTTGGTTGTGGACATAGTTTTTCACGTCCTTCCAGGACCTTTGGTTCAAAGCGCTCTCTTTCTCCAGGCATTGAACGCAGTCGTCCTTTCCAGGAACCCGCCGTTCATCGAAGAATTGTTGGAGATATTTTTTGATGGCAGTCCTTTCGCCCTCAGTCCAGGGCCGCTTGTTTTGAACTCTGGGTGCTACTATATAGACAAA